ACACTCATAGTTTTATATTATAGTTTTATAGGCATTTAATTTCATAACTCATATAGAGTTGGTAACCGCGCTAAACACCTAACACTATGTAAAAAAGCACATCACAGACGCACGTTTAGGTCATTACAGACGTGTTATTGCGCGTCTACCATAGCGCGTCTGTAATAAGGTCTTATTTTCTACTACAGACGCGTCTTACCAATAAGCGTCTGTGTTATACAAACATGGTTAGGGTTTAGGGGAAGTCACAGACTTGTTATATAGACTGGTAGAGTAAAGACGCGTCTGTAGTAACCCTATCACAGACGCGTATAGTCAAAACGCGTCTGTGACTTCCCCTTATCACATACGCGCGTAACCAACACGCGTCTGTGATAATGAAATAAAAAACAAAAAAAATAAATTCCAATGCCTAGATCATACATACACATCCAATATCAGGCAAATAACACTTATTTTTTGGATAGTGATAGGCTTAATGTACATGGATAGAGCAACTTACTTAAGTTTTGCTTGCTGCACAATCACTACATGATCTAGATAGACAATCAAGAGAAGCAAACCCTTTGCTTGCTATGTCTGTAGAAACCAGCAGTAATCCTCTTCCCTTCACTTCCTGTAGAGGTCACAAAAATCTCATAGTCAAATAAAAACAAGAAGGAGCTAAGCAATTAATATAGAGGGAATGTCCCTCCACTGTTCAATCACAGTAGCAAGGAATGAACCCACCAGCTTTCCTCTGGAAAAACAAGAAGCGAAGGAAATGAGCAAAATAAGTAAATCACTACACAGCACACTGCTTGCAGCTAGAGTTCAAGTTAGCATTTCTAGAAATATAAGGGTTTTGTAGTGGCTAAAGAGAACTCAAACCAACATATTGCTCTCTACAGTACTTCATAAACAAAAGAATGCAGTCAATATCCCTCAGCTGACCATATAAGTTTTTATATGGAAACTACATTATAGTATAGGCTAGTACAGTATATGGCAACTACATTATAATAAATAGCTGATTTTGCCTATCAGTAGCCCAGATTAGTTGTGAGTCCAGCAACGACACAATGAATTTTGGGAGCCCAATGAGACATGCACACTCGACCACATCGGTTTCAGCACGTTCTGGAAAGCAATTTGATAACTTCAGCTTAAACTCCAGCTGAGTTCAAACATAAAAGGCAAATACTGTAGTAGCAGACCAAAGAAAAGACATAACAGACTACAGATAGCCACTGATAAGTTAGCAAGAATATGCATTCTCAAAATTCAAATTCTGCCTCGAAGCATACTACAAAAACTGTGGACAAGTACGTACAGTTTCCATCTAAAGGCCAAAGGTACCAGAAAACTATAACACTCTGCCCTAATCACTATTTGATAGAGGCTACTGACATTTATAACACACTAAAAGCCCATCATGTCCTAGATTGCTAATAAGCAGGTTACTTACTTGAATTAGGAATTCCTCACACCAGTTGTTGAGCTTTTCAAATGACTTGGTAACATTGACATCGTATACAAGAACATAGTAGTCAGCCATTACAATAAGCATAAGTGTGTCAAGGCATTACCTGCTGTAAAACACACAGCCATGATGGAAGATCTGAACCAACTGAACCCTATCTGTTGGGTCTCAGCATCGCTTGGACAGTGACCTTGGGATGCTTCAGCTGCTTCAGTGGTCTAAAAAATGGTATGTCACCATCCATGTTGTTGAAAGAAGAGTCCCTAAACGAAAAATGGAAAGTTAATAGAATAAAAGCACTATGTAATCGAAACCAGTAAGAAGGGTGCTTGTAGTTGCTACTGCTAGTACAAGTATTCCAGGCAAATCATCGAAAAGGCCTCTGCATCTCACCATCTAAGCTGCTACTGCTAGTATAAGTACATACTTAGTATACATATACTACAACTACTATAGAGAACTACCACAAGTAAAATTTCAGTCCATAGAAAATTATACATGTACTACAACTACTACAGTATGTTTCAAAATTGTGACACTTAGGGGCATGCAGTTTCAAAATTGCATCCCTGCTAAATTTTTAGTACTGAAATTATGACACATAGGGGCATGCTGTTTCAAAATTACAGATACAGGTCATAGCACGTAGTTCAGGGAAAATAACTTTTCTTAAATTCAAATCAGAATATAGAAGAACAACGGATTATGGACACACCTTGGTCCTTGTACTTCTCATAGAGCTGGGCCAACTCGGTGTAGTTGGAGTTGATTATAAGCCACTGAAATAATCGGTCACAGCGCAGCAATTAGCAGTGTACAGACTACAGAGTAATGTTTTCAACAGTATAAACAAAAGATGTCTATGTCTGATAGTGAAATAAGTAAGCTCTTTTCTGCTCATCTCATCTGACCTTGTGAGATCATCACCACCCCATTTAATAATCAACATCAACATCAACTTTTACTGTAAGCCCCAAAATCAAATTAAGGGTCACTAATGCAAGTTTGTCACTGCTAATAATAAAAGAGAAATAATGATACACTTATCTTCTAGCAAATCCTTTAACAAAGCGATCAAAAGACTATTGGACATTGGAAAAATGATAAAAATGTCTACAAGTAGAAGCCAGAATGCGTCAAGAATGCTAAAGACTATTGAACCTCCATCTTTATCAAATGATGAACAATTAACATCCATATGTGTAGCCAACCATGCTATGTTGACCATTGCCCACAGCATGAAGCTCCTCCATTATCACTCCATCAGACCACATGAAATCAACACAAGTCTTCACTTTGGCTTGATCACCTTGGAATGATATGATACATTATTTATAGCTTCACACGGCTTTATTGGTCCATCGATTGTACACAACTATAGAAATGGTCATCTCCTATATATGGTACTATCACCGCCGGTTTTATTAAACCGGCTAAGATAATTACAATCGCTGGTTCATATATATTACAAACCGGTGGTGACGGGATTACCACTGTCGGTTCGTATCACCAACTGGCGGTGGTAGTCCATCATCACCGCCGGTTCACGTTATCAACCGACCGTGATGATGGGCTTCTCATCGCTCTCGGCTCACCGTATGAACTGGTGATGATGATGGGCTCCACATCATTGCCAGCTCGATGAACCGGCAGTGAAGACGGTTTTCACCGCCAGGTTGAGTTGATCCGGCGGTGATAACCATGCCGCAACACAATAACATTTATAACTTTTACAAATGAAGTTGGATGAAAACAAACTTAATGTCGATGAGATTTACAACTTTGTAGTTGATGACTTTTTCATTTGAAATCATTTATGATCCTATAATTCTATTTGAAGTTCTCATAGTTTGAAATTCAACTTTGTCGACTTGTACAAATGACTCAGATGGAAAAATGACCAGAAGCAAATATGTATATCTCGATAGTTGTCAACATATTCATTAGAAAACAGTTCTAACACTTTGAAATTCAAAATTTTCCAACGACCTCGCATGAAAAATCGATCAAAACCAAAGTTGTACATGTCGTTGAAAACTATAACTTTGTAATTGATGACTTTTTCATTTGAAATCCTTTGAGGTCCTACAAGTGTGGATCAACTTCTCACAATTTTAATTTCAAATTTGTCAAACGATCTTGGATGGCAAAACGACCAAAATCAAACCTAAACTGCAACTTTGTAATTGATGACTTTTTCATCTGAAGTCGTTTAGGGTCTAAAATATCCATTTTAAAATCCCGAGAAGTGAATTCTAGGGGAATGGATACGCCATATAGGTACAAGTTACCTTAAGGTGGAGTGGTTAGAGGAGCTCGGTACGAGGACACAGGTCTCATGTTCGAATCCCACCTGCACATAGCACCGTATTTTTGCACAAAAAATCTTGGGACTTGTGACTTTTCTATGCACCAAGCCCTCTACTCGTGCTTCACCACCTCGACAGTCCTTCGGAGCCAAGCATCACATTGATCTTCTCCATCTAGCCATATAAAACTATAGCCAATCATCGGCCAAGCATCACATTGATCTTCTCCATCTAGCCATATAAAACTATAGCCAATCATTGCCTTGATCTTCACCGGTATGTAATTTAACTCACGCAGCGTCGACTCGATCTCTAGCTATATCGAGCTTCCGCTCAATCGTCCTGTTCGACCCCTGGTTTCTCTATTTTTTTTGAGAAAAGCTATAACACACTCGGGTGTTTTGGGAGCCGACCACCACTTGTTTTTTTGTGCCTATGATGTCTAGGGCCCAGTCTATATGATGCGCCTGACTCGCCCAACGTGCACGCGCCCTCCCTGACGCGCCCGACGCACACGCGCTCCTCCTCCTCCTGCATCGGCGGTGAGGTAGGCGGTTCCTCCTTGTCCTCTCTTCCTCCTCCTCCTCTTTGGCGCGACGACTAGGATTCTGGCCATCCCCTTCTTCTCCAACTCCAGCAGCTATTGAAGGGGCTAGCCAAGAGGAGGTAGGCAGGCTAGGCGGTGGGGATGGTGGCCGGGCGGTTTAGGGGCCCTGGCGGTGGTAGCGGCGGCCGGACCAGGTCAGGCCAGGGTAGTCGATGGCCGAGCTCATCGGAGTTGGAGAAGATGGTGGCGGTGGGCGGAGGGGAAATGGCGGTCGCCGTGGGCGCTCGGGTTCACAGGAGCTCTGGCGCGCTAGGGCCGCGGTGGGGCGGTGGTCGGCGACGGGGGCGACGAGGAGTCTGGCGGGGTCAAGTACGACTGTGGGGTGGTCAAAGGTGAGGGATGGGACAATGGAGGAGAGGAGGAAGATGAACAGTAGATGGGGGAATCTAGTGCTCAAACACACGGTTGTTGGATAGACCGACTCTTTTTTTAGTAATGGTTTCTCTAATTTTAAGTGTGGACAATGAGTTTTGATATTTGGAATCTTAGGTTCAACGTGGATGCCTACGTCATGGTGTATGGAGAGGGGGAGTCACAGTCAGAGGTGTGGCTCGACGTGCCCAAGGTGGCCCTGGTGTTGATCCGCTTCAAAGCCATGCCAGAGCTGGACTAGTGCAAGAAGATGATGGACATGGAGGGCTTCCTAACCCAGCGCATCGACAAGCTCAAGGAGCAGCTACACAAGGTGCAGCACAAGAACTGCGAGCATGAGATCACGCTGCTCCTACATGACATCATCGTGGGGCGCCGCTCGGGCCTCATGGGCTTCTCCGTCGAGGAGATCACCGGCCTCGGCTGGATGGTGGAGAACCCTACAACATCGGCCTAGCCAGGCACATGGACGTTCATCACCAAGCACCCCTAAACCCGTAGCTGCAGCCACACCCGCATGCCAGCTAGTTGATGGAAGTGGCCAAGGCTAGAGGGGACCTTAGCGCACTGATCTACAACAGCTTCGGTGGTGGGCGCGGGAGCTTTGGAAACACTGGCCGCTAGCGCCAGCATTAGCCCCGGGGCGGCAGACATGCTGCCCCATCTAGGCAATTTTGGTGCCAGATTTGGTTGGGCTAATCCTGCTAGCCCTTTTGCTTTCATATGGCCAAAGTCATAGTCGGACTTCGCATTAGAAATTAAAGTCACAGTTGGGGTCGTTACAAAGTCATAGTCGGACTCCTCATTAGAAATCAAATCTTTTAGAACAATTCATATGGCCAACTACTCACCATATGATGCTTATAGATATGTGCAAAGTGGTATGCAGGGTACATGCCTATTTTAACTTTGGATCTTATGTTCTAAGTAGTAAGTACAAGTATAAGTATGTAGATCCAATGTACTCCATCCACTATAACCTAACACCTTTCCCAGTCCACCCCATGAGGCCACAACGTCCATCTCTATCAAATCCCCAAACCAACACCCTCATTCTCATACCATTCTCAAGTCAGAGGGAAACTCCCTCCTTCCTCATCTCAACCACCTCAACACAGACCTTAACTTCTTAGGGGCAAGAATAGTAGTTGCTCTCCTTGCTAGTAAGCATAATAGCAACACATAGGGTCATTGAAGATCACAAACATGGCCTGTCGTAAAGTTTTTATACAATCTGTATAGGTTATACACCTGTACCCACACAATTGCCACCACCAGTGGTGTTTGCTGCCAGCATCCTTAGCCCTGAGTCACCCCGGACACAACCGACATCCTCGAGTCTATGAACTGCATCCTCTGGGACTCTAACCCCTAGTGCAATGCTTGCAGGTCTTGGGAAACCCGAGTCTCAACACTACTGCCCTAACACCATATTTTTACTCTAATAGTAGTGATACTATCTTCGGACTAATCTTGGGTTGCCGATCATCATATAATAGGGACGCGTGGTGTGTATGAGATGGTCCCATAAACACAATTACCCCAACTTGGTCCTTATATGAGAAAGGCAAGACATATCCTTCAAAGGGAAGCCATCTCCCAATAGCTTTCATAGGTACCTCAAATCCTCTATAAAATCCGCTCACATACAGGGCCAAGTTGTTGTGGAACTTCAAGTTGTACCAACTACATGTACTCTTAGAGGGTGTTTAGGTCACACTGTCTTGGCATGATGCAATCCTCTAGACCTTATCAACTCTCTTGCACTGATCAAGACATCCTCACCACAATTCCAATAATCATACTAGAATATCTCTTCTATTATTATATGTTAGCCCACAGGATCATCGACTCAGGTGAGTTGACCACTCACCAGTCTTGCTGAGCACCCGCTAGTGTTGCGGAGCACTCACTAGCTAAGCTGACCATGAACAAGCGTTGTCCGACCACACACACTATGGCTAGAGGCTAAAGAAGAGGGAGAACAGAGCATACATACACAACACCAGCGTTGGCCAGAGCCCTATATAGGAGATGGCAAATCTGAACTCTCTTTGTTGAGTTGCAGTGGCAAACTATATATACAACTCTATCCATCTAGTCCTAGTACAGTTGCCATGCTATAACAGTGACTAGATAACACAACAGGACTGACTTCTACGCCTATCCCTGCATGTGGCTACAGTCCGGTAGGTGAGCCATTCGGCGCCTGCCTCTACAGCGGCTACAATACCACAGTAGGGGGCCTTTTTGGCGCCGCCTTCCCTTGCTGTGTGTTCACACAAGAAAGCAGTAGATTATCTAACAGTTCTTCCCCTAATCCTACTGCTATCCCTTGTACCCCCTCCATGCCGATCATCTCCTTCAGCTCCGTGAGTCTAAGACGTCCGAGCGGCTTGGTGAGGACATCCGCAAGTTGCCAACCAGTTTCGACGAACTCGATGACGATCTACCCTCCATCGACACAGTCCTTGAGGAAGTGGAACTTTACGTCGATGTGTTTGCTCCGGTCGTGCAGAACTGGATTCTTTGCGAGGGCGATGGTGGGCTGGTTGTCCACCATCAGTGCTGGTGGGTGAGCTTCCACACCGGTCAGCTTGCCCAGCAGCCGGCGTAGCCACACAACTTGGCACGCCACTGTGGCCGCCGCTACGTACTCTGCCTCGCACGTAGACAATGCCACCACCTTCTGTTTCAGCGACAGCCATGAAATTGGAGCCGACCCGAGGAAGACGAGCACTCCAGAGGTGCTCCGCTGTCCGTCGATGTCCCCCGCCATGTCTGCATCACTGAACACAGTGAGCTGCAGCCTACTCCCACCGGTCTTTGGGAAGTTTGGGAAGATGATCCCCTGATCTACCATCCCCTTGACGTAGCACAGTAGCCGCTTCACCGTAACCCAGTGATCCTCTCTGGGATCCTCCATGAAGCGACTGACGTAGCCCACGACGAACGCAATGTCCGGCCTCGTGTGGACTAGGTAGCGTAGACCGCCAACGATGGTCTGGTAGAGTGTTGCATCCACCTTCGCCGTGGTGCTAGCCTTTGTCAGCTTCAGTCGCTCCTCCATCGGAGTCATGCATGGCTTGCACTCAGCCATGCCGCTCTGCTCCAATAGTTTTGAGGCATACGCGCTCTGACCGAGCGTGAGTTCCTTCTTCCCTTGTCTAACCTCGATGCCGAGGTAGTAGGAAAGTGCACTGAGATCGCTCATTCGAAAACAAGCCACCATCTCACGCTTGAAGCTATTGATGTCCTCTGTGCGTGCGCCGGTGATGATCAAGTCATCCACATACACGCCGACGATGAGCTCCTCCTTCCCCCATCGCCACATGTAGATCGCGTGCTCGGTTGCGCACCGTTGAAACCCAAGCTCACCCAACGTGGCATCAAGCTCGGCGTTCCATGTTCGTGGGGCCTGCCACAGCCCGTAGAGCGCCTTGCGCAGTCAGAGCACCCTGTGCTCCTCTCCCTTGATGGCAAAACCTGGAGGTTGCCTAATGAAGACCGTCTCCGCCAGCTCACCATTGAGGAAGGCCGATTTAACGTCCAAATGATGGAGGCGCTAGTCCTTTGCTATTGCCAAGGCTAGTAGCAAACGGATAGACTCTATGCGTGCTACTAGCGTAAAGACCTCCTCAAAGTCTATGCTCTCACCCTGAACAAAGCATCGGGCGACGAGGCGTGCCTTGTGCTTGACAATGGCGCCAAGCTCGTCCCACTTGACCTTGTACACCCACTTTAGGCTGATCGGACGACATCCTAGAGGTGGATCGATGAGCTGCCATGTCTCGTTTTCCTTGATCGCCTTCATCTCCTCCAGCATCGCTTGTCACCAGTTTCCATCACGCTCGGCCAGCGTGAACGTGGGTGGTTCCTCTGCACTGACGAGCAATAGCTCTTGATCATTGAGCAACCAACTAGCCAGGCCTGAGGGCCCTATGCCGCCGATGATGTTGTCTGGCCTACGGAACCGCACCTCCTCACCTTCGTGGAAGGCATCCACAAACTCAGTGATGTCACTTGGAGGTGAGGCGAACTCAATCAGTGCTGATGGAGTTCCCTGTTCCGCCGGAGTGCTCGGCACAGCACCTGGAGTGCTCGGCAGTCTGGTTGCAGTGCTCGACACTTCTTCTGGACAACTCATCTCTACTCCTATGGTGCTCGGCACCACTGTAGGAGTGCTCAGCCTTAGTCTAGGAGTGGTCAACACCACTGCAAGACCTCTTGGCTCCGCTATGGGAGTGCTCGGCACCCATCCTAGAGTGGTCGCCGCCACTACAGAACCTCCCGGTACCACTCCTAGCGTGCTCGGCATCCCTTCTGAAGTGCTCGGCACTGCCCTAGGAGTGCTCGGCTCTATCGTTGGAGTGCTCAGCACCCTTTCCGGAGTGCTCGACACTTGTTCCCCAGTGTCTCCACCACCGTGGATGACCAGGTGCTCGACGATGAAGGTGCTGGTGAAGCCGCCAGCTTCCCTCGTGCTGGGACTGCTCTAGTCCTAAGCCGCCTTCTCATCGAACACGACGTCGCGTGAGACAAGCACCTTGTCTCCATGTGGGTCGTAGAGCCGGTACGCCTTGGTACCCTCCGCATAGCCTAGGAACACCATCGGTGTGCTCCTATCCTCTAGGTTGGTGAGGATCGGCTTTGTCTTCCTGATGTGGCCGATACGGCCGAATGTCCAGAGGAAGGACAGGCTCGGCTTGCGCCCATACCAAGCTTCGAACGGCGTCTTGCCCATCAGGGCCTTGGTCGGAGCACGGTTGAGGATGAACACCGCCGTGGTCACCGCCTCACCCCAGAACCTTGCCAGCATGCCTTTGGCCTTCATCATGGATCTAGCCATGCCGACCACCGTCTGGTTCGCCTCTCCACCACGCCATTCTATTGTGGCGAGTACAGCGTGGTGTGGTGTCGCACCACACCCTAATCCGCGCAGTACATAGCGAACTCCACCAAAGTGAATTTGCCACCGCGATCAGTCCTCAGCATGTGGAGCTTCTTGCCGCTCTTGGCCTTTGCACGCATCTTGAACTTCTTGATTGCCGATGCCACTTTGTCCTTGCTTGTCAGGAGTTGTAGCCACATGTAGCGACTGCAATCATCCATGAGCAGGAGGAAGTACCGCCGACCACCGTTTGTAGCTGGCATGATCGGCCCGCAGAGGTCACCGTGGACAAGCTTGAGAGTGTCCTTCACATGATACTTGGCCGCCTTTGGGAATGGTAGCCTCCTCTACTTCTCGGCTAGGTAGCTGTCACACAGCTCGCCTCTGTGCTTGATGTGGAGTAGCCCTCGGACCATCTTCTCCAGCCGACCAAGCGCGTCAAAGCTAAGATGTCCGAATTGGGCATGCCGCAGCCATACCTTCAGGTTGAGCAGGTACAACTAGTTCTGGGACCTTTTCACCTTAGCAAGAAGTCGCTGCTCCTAAGGATTATGTCCTTAATCAGT